AGTGAAAACAAATAATTAGAATTATTTATAAATGAATTTTCTTTCTCAGCGTAACTTGTCGATATGTCCGAGTGGTTAAGGAGACAGACTTGAAATCTGTTGGGCTTCGCCCGCGCAGGTTCGAACCCTGCTGTCGACGATCATTCTTTTTTCTTTCCAAATTTGTAGTTTAATTTGTATTTTAATAAATTATGGGGTGTGCTATCCACACATCTTTTTTTTACTTTTCTCACATCCCTTGTTCATTTATGTTCTTTGATTTTTTTCAATTCATCCGATCTGAAGGCCGAAAATTAAAAGGATGTGAGAGAAGTAAAAAGTGGTGTGTGGATATCACACTCCTAAATTATCTTCTATACAACTAACTGACTCTTATATCCAATTGCGATGAAAATTTTAATATCCCCATTGAATGTTTTCTAATTTTTTTGTACAATCAATTAGGAGAATTTCAGATTTCCTTTGCAAATGGTGTGATTTTTCCATTTTTCAATATTGTCACATAGCTCATATTTTTTAGGGCTACCACTACAAAATAAAAATGAACATTAGAACATGTATGCTCTGACTTCCACTGCTCCAAATTTCATTGAGACTAGGGGTGGATTTTTTTTTGTCAAATTGTCAACCGTGCCATACCAATTTTGTGCCAAATTTTTTGTACCAATCGGTAATGGTACGGTATTGGTGATGGATATCATTACCACGGTATTACCGTACCATACCGAAAATACAATATAATTTATAAATTATATAATAGATATATAATTTATATTTATAATATTCCAATAATTTGAAAATAAAACCCTACTTATATTAGCATTATTGTTGGTGACTTTGATCTCTTGAAATTGTGGAAATCAAACACAAAAGAATTCCTAATTCTTTCACAAATAGCCAAAATATCTTTGTAACCCCCACTTCTACTGTTGCTAGTGAAAATACATTTAGCCTAGAGAGGAGGCTTGTTGACCCTAGGGGTGGGCAAACGGATCTAGGAACCGCAGGGCGAGCCGGGTCTAGTTAGTTCGGGGCGGGTTCAAGTTTTGTAAACTCAAATGGGGCAGGTCGGGATGGGTCCATGTAATTGGTGGGGCGGGGCGGGTCTAAATTTCTGAAAAATCGGGTCCCTGGGCCCGAACCGTTTCCACCGTCCATATACGAAGATTAAATCTCTACCGTTCTTTTCTACCACTCTTTCTCTTAGTCGCTGACTCTCGCCTCCTCTCTTGACTTTTCCAGGATCTATCATCTCTCAAGATGGACTCTTGCCTACTCCATCGCTTCCTCAACGCCTACTCCACCGCTCACTCCTCCTCTCGTTGAAGCCACAGCGGTCTTCATCGATGCTACCTCTACCCTATCTTCTTTCAGATCAAAGTCGTCGCTCCCTCTCCCACTCGAGTCGAGTCCTCTTGTGAACACCACCACTGCCGTCGAAAGCTCCTCCATGAAAGACGCCTTCTCCAAATATTCTGATTTCACTCAACAATCTTGTAATCCCTAATTTAAACTTCACCAATTTGCAGCTGTGTGAGCGACTCAAAGGTTTGTAGAATGACCAGCGGGACAGGGTCGTAAAAGCAAGTCGCGATATCACCATTAATAGCAAAAAGGTCATCTTTAAGGTTCACAGGTAAGAAAGCTGCGACCTTTTGCTTCAAATTTTGTTTCTGTTTTTTGGGTTTTAGATTTTGGTTTTTTTTTTTAATAATTTTATTTATATCACCATTGAAATGATGTTGCTGTGGAATTTGAACTTGAACAGAATCAGTAAACACAACAAAGAGGAAGTTCTGCAGAAAGCTGAAAAGGATTTAGTAGCTGTGACGGATCAGTACATTTCCCAGCTTGTTAGAGAGATGTATGCTAAGTTTTTTTCTTTTATTACTGTTACTCTGGGATTCTTTGAGAAAACTTGAATTGTTTTTGTTTTCTGGGTGATTTGGAAATGGGCGAAAAAAAGGACCAATGTACCCGGCCCTAATCGGCCCGTTTGAAACGGGCCGGGTTAGGTCCGGTTTATGTTTTAAAATTTGTTGCACCCTGCCCGCTCCGGCCCGTTTCTTTTACACCCGGGTCCGGTCCGGTCCCTTCAAAATTAGGCCCGGCCCGGCCTGTGCCCAACCCTAGTTGACCCTTTTAGGGTATCCTTGACTCCTAAAATAATGGAGGCACTAGTGCGTACTAGTGGTTGGCTTAGGCAGATGAAGTAAACTTCTATAAAGAACCAACGGAAAATACGCTTCAATTTTACAAGAAAATGGAAGAAGAGAAAACAAGAAAGATATGCTTTAATTTTTTTAGTAAATTTGTTATTAAATGGTTTTCAACTTTAATTCTTCTTGTTACCAATTAATATGTTTTCTTTGTTTGTAATGTAGGCTTGACACAAACTCAATCTTCTACAAGTTCAATGCCTCCTCCAAAAGCTTCGACATCTCAAGCTTGAATAATTGATCATGAATTCTCCTTTTTGAAGTTTACTTCCAATTTTCATTTGGTTTGAAACTTTAATTTCTATTTGGATTGTTAACTTCTATTTTTTTTGGTTCGTCACTTCTATATGGATTGTAAGCTTAATTTTCATGATGAATCTTGATTCATCATTTGAATTATTATGTGTGTGAATTGTGAATGATGAATAATAAATGAATTTAATCTATAATGTATGAGATAAAGGTACAAAAAAAAAAGTTTTGCCCTTGAATTGGGTTAAAAAAACAAAAACAGATTTTGTCCCAAAACAAAATGGCAATTACCATGCCAACCGAACTTTTGGCAATACTGAACTTCAGTATACCAAAAGTTTGGTACGGTAATGATAATAAATTTTACCAAACCGAAAGTTTGGTACGGTAATTGGTACAAGAGTTTTGGTACGGTAACCATACCTAACCCACCCCTAATTGAGACTATTGACAATTAGGTTTATAAACACTTTCATTGAGGTTTAAGAAATATAACTACTCTCTCATCTAGCTAGTTGCCATCAAAATTGGAATCTCGCTACAATTTGACTTCTTTCATTTAACACCATCAGAAAGGAATAGTCTAACGAGAATGTGGTTTCTATCATGCATTCAACATTCTCATGTGGCAGAAACAATCTCATATAAGTTTTTCTCGTGTATACGCATGTACACTCCTTGTCTCATGAATCATGAGCTTGGATATAGACAATGATTGGTTCTCCCAAATCTTCATTAGTATAGTGCTCGGGTAACCTCCCAGAGTCCCTTAAGTTTGTACAACTTTGATCACTTGATGATGAACCTTCTTCAATTGGTGTTGTTACACTAGAAATAACATTATTGCCCGATTGACTACGTTGGTTTAGGCAGTATGGACAAAAGTTACAATGGTTTTCAAATGGTATGCTTGATTCATTCAAAAGGAGCAGAGAATTAACCATTCTAATCAGTAATTCCCCATTCTGAGAACTTGAAACCTTGGACTGATATGCATTTCTGAGATTTATTTTTATTTTTTATAGAATATTTAAAGGTGGTTTTGAACTTTTAATGTAATTATAAAAGTATGGGTCTTTGATTCCATATAAATTGTTGTTTATATATGTGAATTCAAAGGGGGAGCATTTGTATGTAGATGTAATACAGAGAGGGTGGCTTTGAGAATGTTTGGCTATCTATTTTATATTGATACACTTCATCTGATGTCAAAAGACCTATAAAAATTAATTTTAGATCTCTGACTTTCTACGATGGATTAGGTGATGTTGAAAACTTCTAAGCGTAAATTCAATTCTGAATTTAGTGGTACTGTGACATAAGAGATGCGAGATGTTAAAAAATGATGATATGCGTTGATACACAATAACTTAGTTCCTGAGAAAATAATGTTGAATTTACTCTTACTATATGTTCAATAATCTTAATTTGTCTTCAATTTCTTTTAGAAATACGAATTTCAATTTTTATATTGAGGTAAAAGTCTCAGCCCTTCTCACATAGTAGTATGCATCTGATCATTTATTTTTAAATACAATTGTCTTATCTTAAAGTGCCAATTGCTTAAATATAGGAATCCAATCCATTTTTAAAACTATTGAGAAGCATGCTATAAGCCAATTTGGTTCTTCAGACCACCATCTTCTAGGATATTATTCTACATATATGCCCTTCTCCAGTACAACATTGTACATCAATGTCTTCTCTATTTTAACATTCCTTACATGTTACTCATTTATATGTTGTTGCTCTCAGACTTAATATATTCCTCATTCGCTTTTTAACACTCTATATGTTGCATTGTTTGCACAAGATTCCTTTATATATGGTTTTTTCATGAAATTAACTACAACATATGAAAATAGAGGGAAACAAAAATTTCGTTTGCACCTTCAGGATCACAAATGAACTCTATCTCAATTTTACTTATATGCCCCCCTTTTGTTTTCTAACAACTCATTTTTTTTTCAAAATTTGTAGAAACTAGCTGAAATTGTAAACTCAACATCATGAAGATAAAGATGAGCCAAAAACAGTGAAGTAAGAGAATCTAGATTCAGTAACATGTTTATAGTCTATCTAAATATTTTGAATAATGAGCAGTTTAATGTTGTTAATCTTTTGATCACTGTATATGTTCCTAATTTACCTTTTCAAACAACGTGCATGTAAACATTGATATATAAAACTTATTTATATGTTAATAGTATTGTCTTTAATGTTATTCTTTGATATATAAAACTTACATATATGTTAATAGTATTGTCTTAAATGTTATTCTAGAAACCCGGGGCAAAGAGTGGGCATTCATGCTTGTTATCTTCTATACAGCTAACTGACTCTTATATCCAATTGTGATGAAAATTTTAATATCCCTATTGAATGTTTTCTAATTTTTTTTGTACAATCAATTAGGAGAATTTCATATTTCCTTTGCAAATGGTGTGATTTTTCCATTTTTCAATATTGTCACATAGCTCATATTTTTTAGGGCTACCACTACAAAATAAAAATGAACATTAGAACATGTATGCTCTGAACTTCCACTGCTCCAAATTTCATTGAGACTATTGACAATTAGGTTTATAAACACTTTCATTGAGGTTTAAGAAATATAACTACTCTCTCATCTAGCTAGTTGCCGTCAAAATTGGAATCTCGCTACAATTTGACTTCTTTCATTTAACACCATCAGAAAGGAATAGTCTCACGAGAATGTGGTTTCTATATCATGCATTCAGCACTCTCATGTGGCAGAAATAGTCTCATATAAGTTTTTCTCGTGTTACGCATGTACACTCCTTGTCTCATGAATCATGAGCTTGGATATAGACAATGACTGGTTCTCCCAAATCTTCATTAGTATAGTGCCCGGGTAACCTCCCAGAGTCCCTTAAGTTTGTACTACTTTGATCACTTGATGATGAACCTTCTTCAATTGGTGTTGTTACACTAGAAATAGCATTATTGCCCGGTTGATTCTGTTGTTGCTGATTTTGTTGGTCCAATAATACAATACTCACTGGACTCTGATGGGAGATTATTATGCTATGGTGCTGCTCTTGTATTACTGGGTCGAACACCCTAGCAGCTGCAGGTGGTGTGGGACTGTCGAGTATGGTACTGATGGGAATCACAGAGCATCTGCAAAGTGGGCAAGTTGTGTTGTTATGCAGCCAGTGATGTATACAATCAACATGAAACACGTGTTTGCATGATAGCACTTGCAGTAATTCCTCTTCCACTTCGAATTCACTCAAGCAAACACAGCATCTGTCACAATTAAATTTAGGGTTCCTTTAGGTGCATGTTTAGCTATAAAACCTAATTAGACTAACATAAAATCTGGTAATTTCACCAAATTAAAAGGAGCGATAGAAGTACATGATGATAGGTTGAATAAGCTAATAATATTGAGCTGCTGGTGAGGTGTTGTGGTTCAATATTCGTTACCTATCAACAAGAATAAAAAGCAATTGCACACACAATTTTATTGAACTTTATTCACGATTTGTCTCTCCACCTCCAAATATGCCACTTCTCATACATATGCTTTACTATAGAAAAACATTTTCACATCCCTAAAAGTGCTTTTAACAATGTTTCGCACCACAAACACTTTCAATTTATCAAAAGTGAACTAATGTATGTGTGTGCACCCGTGCATAATTCTGTTAGAAAACATTTAAGTTCCTTTTTTCGAAATCACTTACATTTTTAATTACAATAAAGATGTGCTTCAAAAAGAAGTGTAAAAACTACAAGTGCTTTTTTAAAATGAATTTCTAAAAGGGTGTCTTGAAAAGCACTTTTGAGAAAGACAGTGGTTGCTATGAAAGGTTCTAAACTCACATGTGAAGAGATTCTATTACAACTACCCTTGCAGGCCTTTTTAGACCATAACCGGTAGCAAGAATAAAACTCCATGATCACTAGATGAGAATTTCAAGGATGTATCCTTTTCTATTGGAGTTGAGGTAGAAATTTAACTCCTTTTTTATTTTTTTTATTTTAGTTTTCTTTTAAATGGTCAAATATCTCAATAGTTGGTTGGCTAATTAGTGCATACTGGTTTTTCAACTTCATGATATGACACCATCTTGGCACATACCACTTGTAGGGCACGATTGATTATGGACCGCATTTGTGTCTTTAATACAAAGGCCTATTCAATTTTATACCGGTAGGAGTATGCTACGATGCAAAGTTCGAAGCCTCATTTGTAACTAAAAAAAACACGGTAGAAATAATTTAAACTTACTGTGAATCCTTTTTCCTTTGTTCTTCATCAAATAAAATTGTTTGAAGCTTCTCCTTGAGCTCCCCCTTCAAACCCACCGGACAAGCCTACACATATAATGTAATAACATTTCTAAAGTTGGATATGGAAATAAATGAAGCTGTATGTATATAATCCGACTCTGCAAATTGTATGAATATGTCTTTTGTTAATATAATCGTTAATTGCAATGGACATAATACGTATGAACATGATCGCTTCGCTGCAATAGGTCTGCAATTGGAACTCAAAATATATTGAACCATATCAAAAATAATATTAAATTAATATGTAATCTCTTGCTGTATCTCTAACTTACTCTTACCATCACCTTACCCTACCTCACCAATGTTTTGTTAATTTGTATGCATGCATGTATGTTAATGTTGTGTGTGTGTGTGTGTGTGTGAGAGAGAGAGAGAGAGAGAGTTACAGTGGAAACATGGTATCTGGTAGGTGCAGCTTGAAGATTATAATTACTCCTTGGAAAAACTGGTTGAGAAGAAGATAAGAGAGCGGAAGCCCTTCTTTTGAGGTAGAACAAGTAGAAGAGAAGAAAAAGAATGATGGAGAAAAGGATAGGAATCGAGAATATGAAGGCGTGGTAAAGTTTAAGTTGGAGTGCTTGAGGATAAAGGTTAGGATTACTAGTACTGTTTGGTGTTTGAGGAAGACTGCCCATCTGATCAACTTCTAAAACCTGGAGAGATTATTTTGCCTGTTAATAATTAGCTCAACATATGTAGGAAAGCAGAAATGCCTTGTTGATGAGTGTATTTATGGAGAGAAGTTGGTGGGGGATTTATAAGTATGAAAAGTAGAGGCGCTTTATATATATATAAAAATATTTTATATATACATTATCTTTTATAATACCATATGTGTGAAATGCAAATAATGACATACTCAGTCATTATAACTATTAGTTTTTAGTTTTTATATTTCGTGCTTTAGATATGTGAAATTATATGATGAAAAGGAGAAATACAGAGTAGAGGAAGGATGTAGAAAAGATGTTGAAGAAATGTATAAAAAATGGACCACAAAGAGAAACTAAAAACTATTTCAAACTATTTCAAGTTGTTTTCACCTTTAAGGGATTTCTTTTCATCCATTCATTTTTATTTGTTTCCCTCCTCCTCTTACCATTCTTCTTCATTCCTCCTTTTTGGTGTATATTTCTCTTTATCTCTAACACAAAAGGTCAAATCATTTATCAAAACGGACCCTAAGTTTTTATCTTATACACAAGCATCATTGGATTTATTAATTGGCAGTAACTTTATCACATTTCTGACATGATTGATAACTTTAGGGTTTGTATTACACTGTTTTAAGTGTCTGCTGGAAACTTAAACACTACAATCTAAAAAGAGTTAAACGAGTACTAATCAATGGATAAATAAGTGTCTATCAATCAGATAAATTCTTCGAGCTTGCAAGTAGATCATATGTCCTTTTTATTTAGGATATTGTTATCGGCACTTTAAAAAGTCATTTTATTTAGAATGAAAAACATCTCCTTTTATTTTCCATTTTAGATTGGATAAATAGAAGGAAAAAAAAAATATATATATATATATACACATATATTTTTTTTTTATTTTTTGTGAAAATCTTTTGCCTTGAGAGAACTCACAAAGGGCTACATGATCATTGGTTTTAGATTGGGGAAAGGACACATAATACCTTTGTTAATCTTATAAAAGAAATAAAATAAAAAACTAAAGCAATAAGCTTTCTGGAGATCAAATTTACATGATGTTGATGCACAAAACCGGAGGTCTTGGAACAACGTAAATCCGACTGTGAATCTGCAAGAAAGTAAATAACACAAGATGTATCGTGGTTCACCCCAATGTTTGGGCTACGTCCACACTGATTATTGTATTTATCTGAGAGGTGAGGGAGAGAATGTGAGAGGGCTTATGCCTCTCAGATTATATTCCTTCTTTCAATAAACTTCAATGACGGGAAACCTATGCCTATCAGATTATCACTAAAACATCATAAATTCTTTCAATTCCATGTTTTATAGTAAAAATATTGAATTCAGTTAAAACAGGAAGAAGAAGAAAATTACTGTGTATAATTAGGTGTAAATGTTGCTTTAGGCCAAGATTAGTGCATTCGTCTTGATTAAGCTAGCTGCTGGTCGATCTGGTCGTCCATGCATGGTTGGCAGGTCGATGACCTAACAAACCTATATAAAGCGAGAGAGAAATATATATGCAGAGTTAGGCTGTTGTTAGCATGGATGGTGGTTTGTCTCAACTTCAACTGATTGACACACCTCTCTAACTTATAAATATAAATTTTGGTCCATTGATCATAAATAACGTAAATCCATAATTATATATAATTAGGCCTGCATGTTCACCAAAGGACATCAAGTTTGTTGGTATATGTTTAAGATGTACAACATAACATCCCTAGTGTTTCTCCTTCTGATTTGGTCTCTCTATGTTTTTTGTTTTTATAGAAGCAATATTAATATATAATCTAACGTATGCTACGAAAAAAGGTGAGGATTTGAACCCAAAACACAGTGCGAAATGCCCTATCCACTATGACAATCCACTGCTTGCAAAATTTAAACTATCTATTAATAAAATTCTCTTTGTCAACTAAAAGTGGGTAAAAAGACAATTTGGTATTCTATCACAAAATAAATTATGGACAGTAATGTAATTTCGAACAAACTAATTTTTGCTGAATTTCTTTCTTTCCTCATTCAAATGTCATCATAACATCTCTAATCTTAAATTTAAAAAAAAATAAAAATTTAAATATCTTCTACATTCTTTCTCTCCTACTCTCTCTTTCACATTTCTCTCAAACTTCTCTCTCTTTCGTATATTTTTTCTTGTTAAATTTTTTATATTTATACATATACTGTGTGAGCTTCATTTAGTATTCACAAAGAAAAACGAGGTCTCTTTAGTTAGGTTTAAGGGCTAAACAAATTAAATGAAGAATTTGGCACACATTTAAGGGGGTTTGGGACCAATTTACAGTAAAATATGTCATTCAGTTGCTAATTTTTATGAAAGATTGGCAGAGTTAAGTTATTTTCCTTGAAGAGAAACAATTAGAAAATTACATGTCTAAAATCGCAATTGAAACTGCAGGTACAAATGAAGTAGAACTTCGCCCAAGTTATAGGGACAAAATTTTTAATTTAATATATAGTAATATATTATATAAGGAAGAACTTACTTCCAGCAAATGATCACAGAAAGCATTATTTCACTTTCTAAGTTGTCTAGAAGTACTTAATCTCATGACAAGAAAGAAAAAGATGATTTCTCTCTTTCATGCACTACACTGAAGTGAGATTGGTTGCTGTGAACTTTTCATCATTACATAAACACAAAAGAGATTGAGCAATATATAGCACATCACTAAATGATAGAAAACATTAAAAAAACATGGCAATATCTCTAATATTAGAAAGCCAGAAGTCAAGTTTGGTGTCTCAATGCTTCATCAAAAATAATTGGACTAAAAAAAACCCTTTAAACAAAAAAATCCAAAACTGATTGAAAATAATAATAACAAATTTACAAGGGCAATTTTGTCACAAAAAAAAGAAAATTCGGAATAAAAACAACAAATTATTTAAAAAGCTGAAAAAAGGAAAAAAAAGAGACGTGAGTGAAAAAAATAAACGTGGTGTTTATCATTTTCAACCGTATTAATCCCCCACTTTTTCAGTAACTTCCCACAATTAACCAGCTATTCTCTCAAGTCTCTTTTTCACTCCTTTTCTGGATTTTCATTCTACCATTTGTGCTCCTCAAAGACTGCGTCGACACCAGCGCCGCTTTTGTCCCCCACCGCATTCTCAAGCACTCTCTCTCTCTCAGCCTCTCCACTCCACCTCTAATGTCGTCGTTTATGTCGCCTTCGGCCGCCCCTTCTCCCACTACGATCGCATCCTCCGAAGACTCAGACTCGCTCTCTCCATAAAGAATTCCGGTTATAATTTACTATCTTTTTTTTTTTTAATTTTTCATTGCATAAATAAAATTGGGGTTTCTAAATTTCGGATGTGTTTTTTGGAACAGTGTTGCAATTTGGTTGCACAGAGGGACAATAATAGATACTTTTTTCTTGACATGATTATGAACTGCCCAGGCGAGAAAGGTATAAAATGGTCTTAAGTTTACCGGCTCAACCCGGCTTACTCTTATTTACTCTCAGCCCGACTTACTCTTATTTACTAATTAATTTTACACTCAATGCGATCCCGACATGTTCTTATTTACTAAATAATTTTCCAGCATGCATGTTTATTAGGCACTCATCGACTCATATTCCTCAAAGGTACTAAGCTTAAATGTGTCTTTATTGCATAATTTGTGGTTGATAATAAATGGGATTTTGTTGAAATGGGTGTAGCGGAGATGAGGATTGCAAACCCTCTTCGATTTTGTTGAAATGGTTGATAATAATTGGACTAAAAAAACCCTTTAAACAAAAACATCAACACGTACACAAAATGGGTGTAGCGGAGATGAGGATGCTTCGTTGGATGTGTGGGCACACAAGAAAGGATAAGATTAGGAATGAGGATATCCGGGGTAAAGTAGGAGTAGCCGAAATTGAAGGAAAGATGAGAGAAAATCGGTTACGGTGGTTTGGACATGTGCAAAGAAGGCCTACTGACGCTCCGATTAGAAGATGCGACGATGGGACAGAGGTTCAGGGCCGAAGGGGTAGAGGAAGACCTAGGAAAACTTTGGAAGAGACTCTAAGAAAAGACTTAGAGTACTTGGATCTAACGAAGGACATGACACAGGATCGAGCACAATGGCGTTCTAAGATTCATATAGCCGATCCCACTCAGTGACTTGGATTTTCCAAGTCTCCAACCGAGAAGTTTTCCTCACTCGGAAAATTAAGGGAACACTACCCCAACCTACATGCTCCACTCAGAAAGCTTCAACATACAAGCTTCAACAAAAGAAAATTCAAAGAACTTAGCGAAGAAGGCTTTGGTGTATTTCACACAATACGTTGAAATGAAGGAAAGCTTATTTATTGATATCCCCGATAAGCTACAAATATGTACATATACATGAGTCAAAATAAACACACAAGAGGGAGCCTTCACAAAGGTTGCTTAGGAGAAGTCTCAGCAGTCGGTAGAGCCCCAGAAAGAGAAGGCACCGGAGGGGGATCATTTGGAGCCTCAGTACTGGACAGAACCCTAGAAGGAGGAGGCATCAGAGAGGTTGATCATTTGGAGCTTCATTACGCGGTACAGCCCCAGAAGACGAAGGCAATAAATGCCTTTGGAACAAACCTACAAATCTCTGATGATCAAGTAAAACCTGACCATCAGTTTCCTTCATCTGGTCAAGCTTCCTCTTCATGTTTGTAGCATAGTCATGTGCGAGCCGGTGCAACTGTTTATTCTCATGCTTGAGCCCTCTAATCTCCTGTTTGAGACTCATCACTTCAGCCGCCAATGATTCAACTTGGCGGGTTCGAGCAAATAGGCGTTGGGCCATATTAGACACAGAACCTGCACACTGAACACTGAGAGCCAGCGAATCCTTAACAGCTAACTCATCAGACCGTTTGGAAAGTAGTCTGTTATCTTTGGGAGTGAGAAGGTTCCTGGCCACCACCGCAGCGGTCATATCATTCTTCATCACGGAATCCCCAACGGTAAGAGGACCAGTAGGGGAGAGACGAAGGATGGGCGCCATATATGTTGTCTGGAGAAGGCGGGGCTGCCTCTTCAACAAGGTTCAAGTCAAAACGACGGTCGGAGGGGC